CCTTATTCAAACTTCTCACAAGTAAAGATGATAAAAAAGGAGCATTTACATCCATAGCACGCAATTCTTATGTATTTACATATCTCACACCCAAACTTTCATATTTTTGATGTAATATTATAGATTTGATTGATATATGTGTAAATATGAAAGTTTAGGTGTGAGATATGCAAATACATAAGAATTGTGTGCTACCTTTGTAAATTTTTGTGAAAAAAATTATGTGAAATTTTATTTTTGGTTTGTGGTGACAGTATAATTATGTTTTATGTATGGGGCATTGACATGTATGCCACATCATTCTTATTTATTTACATATCTGACTCCTACACATTTATGTTTACATTCATATCACTCAAATCTTTAACATCACATAAAAAATAATCATGACTGCTTTTTTTAAATCGAAATGCATCTTTTCATGTATAGATTTATATAGGTTTAAATATCCAATTTTTGGTGTTAGATATGCAGACACATAAGCATTGTGTGGTATGTATGTAAATTTCCCTTTTAACTTGATGACAGCAACTATTGTTTACAGAGGCAACCCTCAATAGTCCTCTATTTTCATAAACTTTTCATTCTAATTTCATCCATATTATCTGAAGTGTGCTGCATATGTTTTCTATTTGTAACTGCTTATGAAACTTGGGGCTGGGATTCATCTTTAACAATTTTCATACTCTATACTTTCATGAATTTCAGCTTTCATTAAAAATGTCCGGGACTAAATGGGATTAAAATATATGTCCACAAAGGGTCAGGGGGCCATTCTGACAGTTTTTCTTTTTCTCCTGTAGTGATTGGAAATCCATCGGGCATCCACATACATGCAACATTTGTTTCGAAGATGGCAGGCGAGACCTTACAGAAGTATGCTGAAGGCGAAGGAGAATGCTGCATAGGCCCTCCGATTGAGGAAAATGCAGGAACAGTGCTTGTGATTTCTTTCGTTTCTGTTGTCATTATAATATCAGCTATTGCCGCATTTCTATTTGCTCGAAACTGTTGGATTCTTCGGAATGGTGGCCGTCGAAAACCTCCTCGTATGGACAGGGAGGAAGTAGAAATACTTACATGTTTCATATTTAAAAGGGCTTATTTGACCACCAAACATATTACTGAAACTTGCGCTATCTGTCTTGAAGATTATCAGGATGGAGAGAGACTCCGCCTTCTTCCCTGTCTACATGGTATGCACTCATTCCGCTCAAGTCCGTTTCATGATATTCTTCATCATTGTTATGAATAAATATGTTTTGAATGCTAAACTACAACAACTATAACATGCCTTTATCCTACTAAGTGGAGACGGCTACATGAATCTTTTTTCTCTATTGAATCCTATTTAGGGTCGTATTTTTATTTAATTTTAATAAATTAAGATTATTTTTTATACAATATTCCCAAGTCTTTTTAAGTTTTCTTCTACCTTTTTTAACATAATTAGTCGAATCCAAAATATCATCTCTCCTAACCGGATCTTCAGATGGTCTATGTTTTATGTGACCAAACCATCTAAGACAGCTCTCTCTAATTTTGTCTGCCACTGGAGCTACACCAACCATTTCATGGACACATTCATTTCGCATTTTGTCTTTAAGTGTCAAGCCACTCTTCCACCTAAGAATTCTCATCTCAGCAATACTTAACTTAGCTTTAATGCTTCCTTAGCTTTAATGCTTCCTTTTTAAAGGCCAATATTCTGTGCATAAAACATTGCAGGTCTCATCATCATCTTATAAAATTTTTCTTTAAGTTTAAGTGCCACTTTTCTATTGCACAATATGTGCATCTTTAATGTTGATGAATAAAAATTGTTTGAATTTTTTAACCTTATTGATATGGAGCATTTACCTACATGCCACCCAATTCTTATGTATAACACTGAAACTTTAATTTTTACATTTATGCCACCAAAATCTTTCATGCCACATCGGAAATATCACTATTTTAACTTTTAAAGAGTGAAATACACATTTTCATTCGTAGGTAAGGTAACATGTATTTAAAAATTGAAGTTTAGGTGTTGGATATGGAATTAAGCGGTGCGTATGCAAATCTTCCTACTGATATTTGATGATACGCTTTTTTATTCACTGCTGCAGTATTATCCATTGTCAAGAATAGCATTGTTCTTCCATCTTCATTTCATCGTTGTTGCTTGATACCTTCATGATCATGATATTCTGGCCAATGTTTTGTTTTAGGATGGATTTCAAAATCCTTAAATTTGCTTTTGAGATGAGCACAGCATATAGAATAATAGTGCTGCACTTATCTTAAAGTAAATATAAAGATTTTTAGATTCATCTTGACCACTTTTTGATCAGCATAAGTTGATACAAACTTTTTTCCATGATCATCTGTAATTGAAATCCAAAACTTTTAAGGGAAATTTACATTTATACCACATATTCTTGCGTATTTGCATGTTTAAGACCTAAAGTTTGATATTTATATTTATAACACCTCGGATGCTATAAACTTATGCATGAAAAGGTGTGTTTCACCTTAAAAAGATAGAAATGGTGTTATATTTTATGTGATGTTAAAGATTTGAGTGCTATATATGTATTATGAATGTTTTGGTATTAGACATATAAATGCATAAGAATTGTGTGGTATGTATGTAAATGACCCAACTTTTAAATGTATGCAAACTAACGGCCCTAAACGACATGAAATGCTGCTTTTCTCTTATCTCATGTTGACATAATTTTTTCGTAGAATTTCACTCGGCGTGTGTGGATTCATGGTTGACTAAATGGGGAACATTCTGCCCAATATGCAAATACGACATGAACTCCAGCAGGTAGTTTCTTCCAGTTCTGTGTTTGTAAAACCAAAATTTTTCTGCATATAATGATTTGCTCTCCTTATGTCTTTATCGGTTGTTCGTTGCTGCTAATTGTGCACGCCCACCACTAGTTTTTTAATTTAAGCAACAGGGAGCAGTTAAACAGTTCTTCTCTTCTAATGTTGTAAAAAATAATAAAAAATTCTTTTTGTAAAGTGCAGTTAGTAAAGCAGTATATTTGAGTTTTGTTTTTTTTTTGTTCCAAGTATTTTTTCCAATGACTCAAGTGCCAAAATAATCTTCTGACTATTTAATGGGGTCATTTTTGTCAGTCTTTAAAAATTCTAAATTAGCCTCCATACTCTTTAAATTAGCTCTGAAATTAGTATCCGTATTAAAAATGTGTGGGGTTAGCACTGTGAATGAGCCGAGCTTGTGCGAATTCAGTATTGCCTTGTGTTCGGGTTGTTCGAAATTGATTAGTATTTGAAATTGTCTGTGAACAGTGTGTTTGTGTTCAACTCGATTTACATATTATTGTTTGTGTTCTGCTCGTGTCGACTCGAATTTGGCTCTTTTAAATTAATTAGAAAAAAATAGTATATATATATATTATTTAATTTCTTTATTTAGAGCTAAAATGATCAAGCAAAGGATTGTTTGTGTGCGGCTCATTAATAATTTGAGCTTAAAAAATTTGTTCGTATTCGACTTATTAAATTAAGGAATGATGCGAGCACGAGCCACTTAAAAATTTATTCTAATGTTATCTGAGTGTAAAGCAAAAGAAGTATTGTTGTTTTAAATTTTCAGCTGTTTGTTTGCGAGTAATATAATTGCAAAAATAATTTTGAGGCATTTTCATACATACCACACAATTCTTATATATTTACATACCTAACACTAAAATATTTGATATCACATCTAAAAAAATATCACCATCACTAATTTTTTAAAAGTGAAATGCATCTTTTTATGCATATTGTTACCTCCCAAAAGAGCCCTTAAAAGAGGTGGGCGGCCCATGATTTAAATACTGTTTTTCGGCCCTACACCTAGCCGATATGAGACTATTTTTCCTTAACATTCTCCTCCACTCACGTGACGCCCTCATTACGGATCGGCTCCACCGAGGTTCCCACTGGACCATGAAAAGGCCACACACATGATAAATAGTAATCTGCTCTGATATCACTCGTCACCTCCCAGAAGAGCCCTTAAGAGAGGTGGACAACCCAGGACTTCTTTTCGGCCTTACACCTAGCCGATGTGAGACTATTTGTCCTTGACATTCTCCTCCACTTATGTGACGCCCTCGTCATGGATTGTCTCCACTGAGGGTCCCACTGGACCATGGAGAGTCCACACCACCTGACAAACAGTAATCTGTTCGGATACCACTTGTCACCTCCCAAAAGAGCCCTTAAGAGAGGTGGGCAGCCCAAAACTTAAATATTGTTTTTCGGCCCTACACCTAGCTGATGTGGGAGTATTTGTTCTTGATAATATGCTTATAATAACAAGGTTTTATAAATCTAAATATCAAATTTGAGACCATATTTATGTAAATACATATAAATTGTGTGGTATGTGTGTAAATTTTCCAACAATTCTTTAAACAATTTAGAATACTCTGCCTAGTTCATTCTCAGGTTATTTTGAACTTGCCCAAGTCGTGCGAATTTAGAATAAGCAAACCTTGCGGCCTCCTGTAAATTCCCATAGACTTTTGAGACCTCGCACGAGCCCCCGTTATTTCGCTTACTACCGCTCAATTCCTATGTATTTACATTAGATTTCAATTATTATATATATGCCACTTTATTTATTCATGAAAAAGTTGCATTTCAATTTTTTATAAGTTAAAATTGTGGTATTTATGTGATATGAAGGATTTGGCTGGCAGAAATGTAATAAATCAAAATTTATATTTTAGTTATGTAATACATAGGAATTGAGTGGTATGTTAATGCCCCTAAATATATTAGTATGACCATTAAGAGGTATATTATGCCATGGCTCAATCCAATGCAACCGATATTTTATACTGATCACAACATTTTGGGGTGCAACAAATGAGGGGAGCATCAATTTGAATATTCAATACACCACAAATGTATAGCTTCCATAATGCTATCTCTCAGAATTCATGATCAAATGTCATTTAATATTTAGCATGATGTTTTGTGAATGTATTGTGTCATGTAGGGGTGCAAAAGAGTCCAATCGAGCTCAAGCCATGCCAAACTTGAGCTTGGCTCGTGTGGCAAATTGTGAGCTTGAGCTTGAATGGCAAGCTGGAGCACAACTTATACTGGTAGTAGCCGGCTTGCGAGTTCGAACTAAAAACTCAATTTTCGTGTGGGCTCGCTAGAGAAGATATTGGTGGTCGGAGTCGGAGGAGGCAGCTGGAGCTCACCGGAAAATGCTTTGAAATATATTTAAAAAAATAATGCATCGAAATGATTAATGACAGCTGGAGCCGGGAAGAGCTCGAGCTTGAGCTCGCTCAATAAACAAGCTCCAGCTTGAGCTTGACCCCTAATGTGATGTATACAACAACATTGAACTATTCCATCATATGAATCTACATGTGTGAGGCATGCAAAAAATTTTGTTGGATCATATCTATTAACCATATAGATATTGTAGGGTTATATGGGGAGAGCATTATGAAGCATATAGGAGCTCAAGGAGATTATAAGCTCTATGAATATAGCAGGCCTGTTATGAATGAAATAGATTATATAAAACAAACGTCTGAGATCATGTATTATGATTATTAAATATCTTATAAACATCATACCCATCATTTCACATAAGTATAATGAAAACATGACTGACTCAAAAAAATATTTGCAACACATTAATACCCCACCAAATCTCGATGAAATTGCATTGGAATGTAAATAGATGATATATCAAAATTTAAACCATGAAATTCATTATAAAACCATTACATGAGCTATAAAACCATCCGAAGCAATGGATTATACATTCAAGCTTTCTAGTATATATTTTCTTTCTTTTGATTCTCTCTCCCTCTCTTTTGCTCCAAACAAGCCATGAAAATGAAGGATACCAACAGGAACAATAAATTATAAAGATGTTTTTATTTGGTTTGTTAAATAATTGTCTATTGGAATATTACTAACTTTTGGTTGTTGCAATTTAATGTCGAGTTAGCTCAACTTGATGTACAAATCAGATGTAGAAGGGATTTAAAGCTTCCGGACACAGGAATCAAGTTTGCAAATTAAACAAGTTGCTTTATTTAAAGCAATCACCATGACTATATTACACACAATATAGTCGTTATATTGCATTTTAAAGTTAGTTATTTAGTCCC